GTTTTTCATACCTATATGGCTTCAAATTTAACACATCCATTACAGTGGAGGTCGTTCAATGACGACGTACACTCGAGTACCTACTCCACTTCTACTATATACAGCAGAGTGAATTTCCCGTTTTTTTCTTTTAAGTATCTAAGTAAATTCAATTATTTTTCTTAATACTTTTTGTAAAAGCACTATGTAAATCAATAATTCAGTAATTTATAATAAGCCGTGAAGATATTGGAATATTGGATTTTCATAAAAGTTTTTATCATTGAAAAATATCTTATAATCTATATAACCGTGTGACAAGTTACGGAGTAGATAGATGTACCTGAACCCAACAGTAAATGACAAAACATGTTACATATTCACTAAAATAGGGCATAGGCAAATAGGTTTTGTTTTTTTATATATTTGGTGATTTTTAGGGTATAAAAAATTATTTTGAAATTCTATAGAATATGTTGTCCTCGTATTAGTTATTATGTAGTAGTGCAAAATAATTCATATTTTACATTTAGGTAATAACAGAAAATTATGTTAAATTTATATTCTATTTTATGTACATAATGGGTTTTTTGAAATATTTAAATATTTATTTTAAGCTTATGTCCATATTAATAACACGAACCTATTTACACTGTTCTACAGTAAATCAGTATTGCCTCAAAAGTGAATAACAATAATATTCTAAAATCTAAATATATATTATTATATTATTTTATAGATTCTGAGCGAAGGAATGAACGTAGGTATTGACTTTACAGTGTGTTTCTTTTTTTGTGTCTTTCATTACCTTTTGAGACAGTAAAAATACTTAAATTTTCTTCATCAGCATCTTTTCTGGTAGGAAAGTGAATCTAGTTTTTACTTTACGGGTTAACTAATTCCCAATAAAAAAACAAACAAAATATTTTTTTAGAAAAAACTGAGATTTTTACGTAAAACTAATTTAAAAAAAAAAATAATTTTTGGTTTTTAGTAAAACTCTAAAAAAAAACTAATATAGATGAAATGTTCACTAAATGTTTATATTAGCACTATAATATTTACAAAATATTGAGTTTTTTTTTTAGCTATTTATAGGCATAAAAATATTTAGAGTTTAATAGTTTTATTTTAATGATTTTCATACAACATTTTTCGTTCAGTCAAAAAACTTGAAAATGTTACAACGTTTCTCATAAGTTGACGTTGGTGGAAATTAAAAAAAAAGTTGAGCTTAAATCCACAATAATTTTTTATGAGCATCTGAAGTTAAAATTCTGACAAAATTCATCATGAACACGAAAATTGACAGTTATCAAAATATCCAAAATTTTCAAATTTATTGTAGTTAAAAAGATTATAAAATGTTCAATTTTTATATATAAGAATTGAAAATTTAAAACAAGGTTTCTCATAAATAATTCATACTGTAGCTAAAAAATCTAAAAAAATGTAAACATGGTTCTTTTTAGTGACATTTTATCTTCATATAAGGACTAAATTACATATTAAAATCAAAAATTACGGTTTTAGTTATTTTGTTGTAATTTTAAAATATTATTCAGAGTATATGTCAGTTTTAGAGTATATTATTATATCTTATACTCACAATGACCTTTTAACCTTTATTTGCAGTAGGTACTGAATACTAATGCATAATAGTAAAATAAAATACTTTAATCACAATTATAATATCATCTATTATACAGTAAAATGGGATAACTTTGATAAATTTGTACCGTTTTATTACAATTTTACTTTTTATTTTATGGATAATTTCTGTAGTATTAACGATAAAATTCCAAAAATTAAATCTTAGTTATAGCTAATTATCCTCAATTGTTTAACATTTAAATTTTTTAATTTCTGATGTTATCTTCTGAGATATTAATCTTTTTAAAATGCTATCAAAGTTACACCACGTTGTGGCCAACTTTGATACCAGCATTTTGTAATGTGTTATCTAAGTTACCCCATTTTATGAAAAAAATATTAAATTGTCGTGGTACTATGGTGAATAAAAATATCATATTATGAAAGTTACTCCACGAAATCAAAGTTACCCCATTCTACGGTACCTACTTAGTAATATCATAGGCCGACAGACCGTCTTCGCTCAGAACCCTTTTTCGTAACCAATGATTTTATATCATTGAATCCAAGTTTGACACAATCCATTACAGTGACCCAATTGTAGTCTACTGTACAGCGGAGTTATACCCACTTACCCGCATTATAATTATTATTTTTTAATTTATTTATTAATAATAATATAATAAGTGTAACGTTTTTGGTAAAAATTAATTCAACTTACCGTATAACTAAAAATTATAGTAAAATAAATTACTGTATGTCTATAATATATAAATATATTTATATATCATAAAATATCTTCTGCTAATATACTAATATATAGCATGCAGATCGCCTCAGCTCAGAACCATTTTTTGTATGCAATGATTTATTATTGAATTCAAATTTAACACAACCATTACAGTTAGGTACTTACTCAATAACGAGCAACATTAGATACCTAATGTACAAAAAAGCGGTACCATTTTTTTAAAATAAAAATATTTTGTAAGGGGTACACAAGGTAGGAATAAGCATAAAGGAACAGAATACAGCTTCAGATAAATAAATACACGAGCTAGTGCAGTCGAAGAACGTACAATGTTTATTAAATGAGACGACAATCAGTAATGAATAATATTACAACAATATAATCGAACAGAGTCCGGATTCTCCGACAATTTTTTCCATTTTAATTGAAACACTAAGCTACGTTTAAAATTATATTAGGGCCAGAATGATTTTTGGTTAACTGTGTGTAAACATTAGTGGTGCACATACATCTTTGTCATCTTGTTACACTTTAAAAGTTATGAAAAACAGTCACCAAAAATCTTTTCTAAGCTAAAGAGAATTACATTAATATCTACATTCTACAGTCGTAATATAATTATATAATTGAATATTGAAAACATGTACAAAATTGTACAATGATAAAGTTAATTTTTTTTATTATTATTGTACCATATCCGCCGTGTTATATAATAATAATACAGTACAATGACGATAATAAAGAATAATTTTTAAGTTATATAATAAAATATTATCATGTATAATAATATAGGTATAACTAACAAATAGTAATCGAAATTTGCTCACACATAAATTAGATTTCAAATAATATTATAAACCTTAATGATAAAATATTACTACTTAAATAACTATATCTACAACTAAAAAGGCACTACTAGTTTCTAGTACAATACATTCACAGTGCATTGTAGTAGCAGTAGAGACCTTTTACGATTCCTTGAATGTGTCATTGTTTACGATTAACGTAAAATCTTAATAAATATTTATAAGCTATACTAAATTATAACTCAATTGCAAAAGAACGTTCGAATTTCGCCAAGAGTTCCCGTGTACGTACGAATATAATTTATTGTTTGCAGTTTGTTTATTCTAGCATTTATGGTTTGGAACAGCACATAGTTTCAAAGAAACTAATACAAAACAGAACATAACAAAAACATAATAAAAAAAACCTTAAAATGTAAATATAAAAAATACAATATGATCTAAACGTACTTAGCCTAACGTTACACCTAACTTAATAATAAACACCAAATGTATGTAGAACGTATGCCATACAGAGGCATGTCTGAAACATGAAACTCTCTTATGGCATGACTAAATTTAAGTAGAATAATCAACTTCATAGCTAAGACTAGCCAACACCACTGCGTAAGCAGTATAATAGTGTTAGCAAGTTTTAAACAGGTAATAAGGAAAAAATTAATAAAAACTGAAACAAAAACCAAAACTAATACTAACCTATATTAACTTATCAAATACTATGGCTAAAATTAGTCAACTAGTACGACATTAGCAGTATTTTGTTGCGGTAATATACAGGACCAAAACAAATTTTATTAAAACTAACCTTAACTGAGCTTTATTCCTAAAGCTTATGCAGTTAAAGTGAAAACCATCAGAAAATATACAAACTTAACACAAATTCATGGGTCAAAAAACAAACAACACAAAATAAACATCAATGTTATTTTGTGTACAGATCACAGCTACAAAATTTGTTTGAACGAACGTTTTGAACAAAATGAAAAACTAGCCTAAACAACTAGAATTCACGTATAATTAGTTTTCTGCTCAGTCATTGCCCGTAGGCATTGACAAATTAACAAATAAATAACAATTAAAACTGAAGAAGAGCTCAGGAATGGGGACGTCTTGGGAAGTGTCGTTCAGAAAGCCTCAAGGTCTAAACTATAGCGACACTATTCCCAGGGATTGGATAAAACTTAAATAAGACAACTTAAGAAAAAATATAATATTTTGTTAAAAAAGAAGTTACAATTGCTGGGGGTGACAAGGGAGGGGATGTGGGTAGGTAGAATAGAATTTATAGAATTTAACTTAATTATAACATAATAATGATCTGAAACACAACTACCATTAAAACTGTTTAAAACACTTAAAAAGTAATTAATTGTGGTTGAATTCATCTCGTCCGTTTGACAACGAACACTTAAATATAGTTAATTATCAATAATCGATAACCTAATAGTTATTCCTAAGGCATTTGTGTTTACATAAACATTTTCGTTGATTATAATATTAGGTATTAATCCGATCAAAAGACCTAATACGATAATCTGTATAATGATCTCGATATTCATCTAATTATCAATAATTGGTTTTTTTTAAGCGATCCTTAAGGCGATATTTATGTCACCATCTATACTTACTACCTAGTAATTTGCCAAAATCAACCGTGACGTAATATTAATATCGTCTACAAAAATATGAACTAGATTAATCCTAAGACTTAAACATCGAATTACACACTAGGGTCGATACAACCGTAATGCGGTTGTGCGCGACGTCGTGTCCGAGTCGGCGAGTGGTGACGCTCTTGACGAATATTGTAAGTGGCGGTGGATACGGACGATGGCTGGTGGCATTATTATGAATTGAAACCGTTCGATTTATTAGTCAGTGGCGGCGGCGGCCTGCGCTTCCTCTCGCTGCTGTTGTTCTCTGGCTTGCCTGCGCAAGGCCCTGGATCGGAGGCCCAGCATGTTGTTCATCACTGTCCGGGCCATCATCGACTCAGATATGCTCTCAGCGAGTTCGATCCCTTTCACCTGCGAGTTAAAATGACACCACACATTAAAATCATATAATATTTAACAACCGCTGTGATTCCGTTATTAATGTGGTGGACCACCCGCATGGTCGGAGGAATGTATATTCTTAAAGATATTAAAATAAATAATTATATATATATATATAATATACAGTGTGTAACAGAAAGAACTGACAAAAAAAAAATGTATGCCACTTAAACGTATGACAAAAATTGATAAAATTATATGATTAGTAAATAGTTTAAGAAATATACCCATGTTAGCAAATTTCCAAAAATAATTTTTTTTAAAAAGTTATTGCGTTCCAAATTAATTTAATCCAAAAAATATTGATATTTAAAATAATTCTAAAAAATAAACTACTTGACTTAGATAAATGTTTTTACCACCCAAATTGTAATTATAATCAGATTCACAAATTGGCTATTTTGAATTTATTCAAAACAATTTAAATCAAATTTAAAATTTTTCATTTTCGGTACTTTATAATTTTTTTTATTATACGTGTAGCGCAAGTGGCTATAAATTATATATATAAAAAAAATTTTTAAATATTGTAACAAAATTTATTCCAAAAGTCAGTTCTATCCGTTACACCCTGTATATAATTATTTATTTTAATATATTTATAAATATACTAAATATAAGAATAATAATGTATTCATATTTTTACCCGTTAGGCATAGTTCGTAAATATATAACCGAGAAAATACGAAAAAATCAATAATATATTATCGTAATGGTAAACGTCGATGTTTACATTAAAATGTGTAAATAATTATGCATGAAAATACAAAAAAAAAAAATTTAACAAACAATCACAATATCAGTTATTGAACCTTCTGCTCTAATCCTCCTATTCCATCCACTATCGTTCTAAAGCTCCACCCCTCCCAACCTCACCACCATCAGCTGGTTATAAAACAACGAAGCGCTCTTATTATATGCGGGGTGACAATATTGTAGCTTAAACGATACACATTAAATATTATAGGTAGATAATCTGTAGCTTACCATCAGCGAGTGTGGCAGGTAACCAGTGGTGACCGGTTCCAGTCCGGTGGTCTGAAGTGCCGATCGGACGAAAGTATCTGGCGATGGAACCATCAAAGAGGTACTCGAGATCTTGCTCATCTTGGTGGCTACGAATCCAGGCATCACGCACTGCACGGTGATATTTGAGCCGTGCTTACCTCTGCCGCCGTATTCGGTGTTCAATTCGCGGCTAAATTTCTCGACGAATTTCTGCGCCACACCATAAAACAATCAGAAAAAAAAATGAGAGTTACGATAGTGTTTATAATAATATATTAACAAAAAAGTCATCATGTGGGAGCCTTGGCGATAATAATTAATACATCATGTGCCGTCAAGAAACGTAACACATTATGTAGAAACATATTTAATACGTACCTATCATTAGCATTTATTACTTAATGCGAATATTATGGATTCAAATAGAATTATTTTTATGGGTTGATAGAAAACTTGAAATTTTGTAACAATATCGTTAGATTTGTTTTATTCCCCCCCCCCCCGACAAACTATACACTAACCATCGGGAGTACCACCAACAAACAATATAAAGCTCTATAGTTGCACCTGCGTAGAATTGATACAACATAATAACCTATTATAATCACCATTAACAATTACAACATTATAATATACGATATGCGGCATTTACCTTGGTGGCTCCGTACATCGTCAACAGAGGGCACGGGATCCGGGACGCTGTGCTTCCGATGTTGATGACGCACCCGCGCTTCCGGTCGACCATGCCAGGCATCACCAGCCGACACATGTTGACCATGGAAGTGATGTTGCACCGGATCATGTTGTCGATGAGTTGCGGTCCCCATCCGGCCGACAAGGCGGCCTTTCCACCGTCAGCGTCGCCGGACCGGTCTTCGACGGCCTTCAGGAAGTACTCGGGGTGCGGGTGCGACAGGCCAACGTTGTTGACCAGCACGCCCACCTCGAGTCCGTGCAGCTCCCGGCCCACGTGGCTGTACACCGCGGCCGTGTCCGGGTCGGTGAAGTCAGCGCGGACGCACTTGACGCGGCGGCCTGGGTGCTCAGCACGGATCTCTTCGGCGGTCGCCTCCAGTTTGGCCTGCGTCCGGCTGACCAGCACGACGTCCATGCCGCGGCCGGCCAGTTGTCGGGCGTACGCCTTGCCCAGCCCGTCCGTGGCGCCTGTCACAACTTGAACACAATAGCGCGCGCACGCCAACACACATTTTACACACGCGTTGATCGCTACTATTTATATATATTATTTTGCCTTTACGTGAAGCACATCCTCACGGACAACATCGACACGCAATAACGAAAACTAAAGATTCAAAACGAAAATAATAACGGCACACGTTACAAAAATATAATATATTGTAATATGTAGAAAAAATACTTATATAATATTAAAAAATATATTTGCATTTGATTACGAGCCAATTTTGAGAACATTCAGTATAGTATGTTAAAATTTTTGACGTGAGGTGGATAAGGTGGGACAGAACTTAAAAAATAAATTACAATAAAAAAATTAAATTCGATACAATATTGTGTAGTAGTATATTATGAGATACATTATAATTATTATACACGCATACAATACGAATCGACACATACGGTTGATGTTTTTTGTGAAGGTTTAGTTACTAATATATTTTGTAAATATTGTTACAGACTACGATGTGCACCACCCCACCAGTACGCGGACGGTCGCATGTAGTAGCAGAATTTTGCGGCGGTGGGGCGGTTATTGATTATTTCGTCGGACTTATATTGATAATACAAAAATATACTTAGATGTAGAACATTTCGTCTTTTCTTATTATTATATAGTATATAAAACTACTAAACGAGTAAACAATAAAATAAATAAAACTTCTGACCTACACAATATTATATCATAATATTGCCTCAGAACTGTACGTCGTCGTCCAATATCATCATGGGCCATAATATTATAATAATAATAAAGATTAACACTTATAGTTTCAATTGTATACCGTAAACAGTATACTAGATTACATTATTATAATGACTAACAGAATATTTTGTGACTACTGCAAGTGCTGGAGACAGAAACTAAAACGGTGCGCATTAAAAAAACACGCAACGTAAAATAAACCAAACTAAAACAATAACAACTAACATTCCTTCTGTGATTTTTTTTAGAATTTTTTAATTTTTTCGATTTTTTTACGAACGTTCGCCACGAGAACGCGGTGACGTCTGGACCGGGGCACAAGCTCGCCACACAGGCCATAATCACCGGCGCGCGACCGCCCGTCGTGTTCATTGATTCTGTGACTGCACCTTTGCCAAAATACCCAAATGGTATAAATGCTGTTTAATGGCAAGTGCTGGAAATTGAAACTTACACGTTGCGCATTAGACACACGCAACGTAAAGTACAACGGACTTAGAAACTAATCAAACGTTAAACTAATAATTATAAACATTCCCTCTGGGATTTTTTTTTTAGATTTTTTAAATTTTTTATAAATTTTTTAACGAACATTTCCACGAGAACGCGATGACCGCTGGATCGGAGCACAGGCTCAAAGCACGCCAATCACACCACCCGTGTGCAACATATTTTATGCTTTTCAATGTCGATAAAGATTTGCCAAAATACCAAATGGTATCATAGCAGTAGAACCCGTTTAACGGTAAGTACTTAAATATACATTGTGTAAGAAACTAATTTTCGAACCTGGCCACAATAAACCCACCCCCAGTCTACTACTTTAACCGATTTTTTTTTTGGTTTTTTGTTATTTTTTTTTTTTGGTTAAATAGTAAACATAGTCTTTAATATTATAACTTAAACCTAATGATGTACGAGTAACGAAGGCGTCTGACATGCGCGTCTTGGACACTGGCCTTTTGCCACTACCAGTTGTCCCTAACGAATACCTTACAATTTACGTGATGACGTCTGTACACGAGATTTCGGATATAGAACTTTTAAAATTAATTCAAACATTAAAATCATAAAACCAATTTAAAGTAAACATAAAAAAAATATATACAAAAAGTAAACTTAATATGCTGAGTAGTTGGTGCGTTTTTCGATTTTTTATAACTAACATCATATATCGTATAGCTATTTACATTAAATATTATCTTATTTATATTGATATAAACTATTTTTGTATCCGAGAAAATAAATACTAATATTAAGCAAATCGAACTGATGATAAATAGTACGTACACGGGAATAATATTACTCCGTTAAGTCTCGAGAAAAACGACAAGTTCTCAACACACACAAAGAAAAAAAAAATTAACAAAACTACATCTAATACACATATATATTACTTATAGTTAAAATACATATTGTTTAATATTTACAGTTCATTTTCGTAAATCCGTTTGAACATTCCACCGATGTCTGATTTTCGAAAAAATATCTGGTTTATTCGCTTCAATTGTTCTAGAATTCTGGCGCCTTTTCCGTCATCATAGTTGTCATGTCGCCGGATTCCTCGCAAGGCCACCACCGCCACCGAGGTGGCCAACACATCGCTGGTCAACATTGGCTTCTTTGACATTGAGTCGGCAGCGGCGGCGGCGGCGGCGGCGGTGGTGGTCGGAGTGGTAGATGTAGCGGTTGTCTGGAAAGTTGGATTGTCAACCACACAAGACGTGTTGATGATGTAGTTGGAGTTCGGCTACTGTTCGGATAGTTCAAGTAATGTGAGTGCGACTTGCGAAAGCGTAGCGCTAGAGCCGCTGTCGTCGTTAGGGCGCTGCAGGGTCGACCCGAGCGCTTCTGGTGGCGACTGTGACAAATGAGGTCGCCCGGCGATCGTTGTAGTTGCGGTACTAGCGCCAATATCGGTGGCGGTAGTGGTGTCTGGGGAGTGTGAAAGCGGCAGCTGCGACGGTGATAGACGAGGGATTGTGGGTACTAATGAACGAGAGGGTGACCTCCCCACATGTAGCGGTGATCTCGACCTCCCCCGTATCTTCTCTTGGGTAATGATGCTCGAGCGATGGCTGGGCGGCGACACGGTGCAAAGTCGCCGGGGCTTACCGTGGTTACGGGTGCGACTGCGACTACGGCGCTGAATCCGCATTACCGGCGCCTTCAACAGGTTGTTCGTGATTGCGTGAGACGATGACGTCGCAGTCTCGGACGACAAACTGTTGGTTTTTACTATCCGTCTTCTATTGTGTTGGCAGGGTAGCTCATCATTAATACAATATTCTTCATCGTCCAGTGCGGGGGTAATAGCATCGATGCGTGGCGAGGGTGGATTTTGGTTTGACACACACACGTCGTCTGGCCCGGCCGAAGAGCCCGGTTCTAGTCGATCAATCTTAAAACGATCTCGTAGTTGCTGCCGCCGTTTCAACCGCTGCTTATGTCGTTTCAGCCACTGCCGACGCATAATTTATTATATGATAATATGTTGCGTAGTCAACAGCTAAAATTTGATGCCAATTTTGTGTCTTGATGCCACAGTGAATGTATTTAATACTGTGAAATGTATAATATATTATATAGTCTTCCTTCGAATTTTATATTTTTTCCGGCGACTACACCTGTCCAATGATTTGCTATTCATTTCATGTTCATAATGCCTTTCATAATAATTTTCATCATAACTTTCATCATTTTCATCATTTTTTATTTCAATTTCTTCATCACTATCCGATGAAATGACAATAACATCATCAACATCTAAATTGTTTTCATGGTGACCATAAAAATTGTTGTCATCGTCACTATCAATTATGGACATTATAGATATAACGGAGGTAGTGGGAGAGTGGTCAATTTCCATCTGTGTATTTACATTTTCTTCTGTATCTTCATGCGACATACTGGATTCTTTGTAAGTTTATTGAAGATGCAGTCTATATTAGAATCTTAAATTTAAATTCTACCAAACATATAATATTACAGAAGTGCTAAATAATAATAATAATAAACTAAACCTTTATAGTTGCGTAGTCAACAGCTAAAATTTGATGCCAATCTTGTGTCTTGATGCCACAGTGAATGTATTTAATACTGTGAAATGTATAATATATTATATAGTCAGCGATTGATGATCGGTTAATCGGTCATATATATTATGAAAACACAAGATGAAGGCGCAAAAAAAATGTTAGGTTAGTTAAATATTATTATGTAGGTATACTCAAAGAATAATCATATAATAGGTAGTAACAAACAGTTTGAAACGGAACGCGTATAAATCGAATAAATACACAAGCAATAGTTTGTCGTTTTTTCAACGTTAGGAAAGGGACCGGACGTTACGCACTCGCACTATTGACGTAATTTTATAAAAAATCTGATATCGACCGGTACCAGTTATCGAACGAACACAAGGAGACGAACACGTAGAAAACCAGGAACACGCGCACTACTTTCAATAGAGTGAGCTACGACGGCGAAGGAAACCAGACTGCAAGACAAAGGCCTCATCGCAACCCCATAACCTATGCCCGCTCCCAATGGACGGGCTGCGCGACGTTGGCGCTGTTCACGAGCAGCGGCCATCCGAAAAATATATCGCTTGCGTTAGCTAGATCATCCATACCACCACCACAACCATTGGCCGTATACGATCCCCACAAAATATTCCATGACCCGCACTCGTCTGCCCACCGACTAACCACTTATGGTTGATAGAGAGAGGGGTGAAGGCGGTGGAGGCGCAGTGTTGTTCAACGTCGAAAATTGATCACAATAATATTTCAACATCTGTTTTGGGCTTCACATAACAAAAATACCAACCTAAAAATGACACTCGTACAAAACTACTTTTTCATATTATTGGTACTGATATGTACGAAAATTATTTCAAGTATATGGCCATATGGGTCGTATCATCTACCTTACGATTAATGTATATGGGTGCAAAGTGTCCCGTCGTTAATGTCACCGCTTTTTTCGCTATTTATTTTGAAAATATCATATTTTAAACGATTATTTAAATTGATTTTTAAATTAAAAATATATTATTCGTGTTATTTAAACGTCTGAGATACAAAAAATAAAAAATAGATAAGTGGGTACCGCTCTGCTGTATATTAGTTGTCGAGTATGTCATTGCAATGGATGTGTTAGATTTGAATTAAATTATAAATCATTGAGATCGAACTGGCGCCCCGTGCCTTTTATTTCCCGACCCATGGCGACATAATAACAACATTCTCACGATATCGTGATGGTCGTCGATAATACTTATTACCTGAACATTGAACAATCATTGCATACGAAAAACGATACTGAGTGAAGACGGTGGGTCATCCTATAACATTCTTATAAAAATAATAATATTTAATAATTATTAAAATCCTCTGAATATCGAATATCGTAAAAATTTTAAATTCAAACGCTCATAAAAAGTTCTTGTTACTTTCCGGTAAATTTTTATGTTTTGTTAAAAATAGAAAACTTATGAGGAAACATCTATCAAAATGTCTAATGTAATCTATGTTCAAATAACCCAAATACTACTATTATACTTACCTAAAATTATAATGTTATTATTTTATTATTTTATTAATCGACCTGTTTTCTAACATTCCACAATGAGAAAACATTTTACTTACATTTACGGTGGGAAAATACTATACATTTAAATAAGCTATAACTTTAAAACTAAGTCATACTGCCAAATTCTGACTTCATCATCGTTTTCAGCCTGCTGAACTACACAGGTTGGCACGTTAAAAAACAATCAAACTGTAGCCTACTCATTCGTAAGGTACCATATTGAATACAAATTTAAAAATAATGAATATGTAAATATTATATTACCATGGTTAGGTTACCTAATGCATTTTAAATTAATTAATTCATAAAACATATTTATAAATATATTCAATCGACAATCTGTATACTAAGTGTATGTACTATGTAGTTATAGGTAATAGGTAGTTATTATTATTATCAATGTGCTTTTATTTATAAGTTATAACAACTTACAAAGTTTAAGTATTATATTAAAATATGATAAATGTTCACATCTACCTTATAAAACTATAGTTGTCTTAATAATATATTAGAATATCCTAATAAATGTGGTTGTGTGACAACAATAATAAGAATCGTATTAATATTCATTATAACATTGAACATAGTAAAAATAAAACACATGAACAATTTTTTTATGTATTGGGAATAATAACAACACACTTAATAGTCTAATGACATTACCACACAATCACACATTAACACAGACAAAACACATACACAAGATACATAAAACACATACAAAATGATTAAATGCCTAGGGAAATAATATTATATTTATTAAAAGCAAAAATTACGAATAATACGTTTTAAAAACTCGCATCCATAAAAAAATATATTATTTATAATTGTTGTTTTCAAGTAGTAATTATTCAAATAAAAACAGTTAAGCAATATTTAAATTAGAAAAAATCCAAATAAATTTCATCGGACTAATTTAAAAACAATAATGATTATTGATTATAATCGTTTTGATTCTACACAATGCAATAACCGATTGAAAATTGAATTTATTTATTATTTTTAGGCAGCGGTGGATTGGGCCACCGGGATACTGGGAATATTCCCCTTGGGCCGATCATTATATTATAATTTTGGCAGGTGTATTTGGATTGAAAATTATTTAATAATAGTTAACTGTGTGTCTGCGTTGTTTGCAGTCGTATTACGATTTTAGCTGCACTAAGTATATAGGCAGTATAAATATTAGTTAATTTATATTTTATTTTAAATTGTCAACATTTTTATAAATTGTATTTTAATATTTTTTATTTAATATTATTAAATATAAATGCACAGTAAAACGAGCAGAACATTTTAGATTTTGAGCGGAGCTATCAATTTATTGATTTTACAATATTACCTATGTGTAGATATAATTTTTTTTGTCTGTCGTCGCCTTTTGGGGCAGTAAAAATGCTTTGATTTTCTACCTCAGTATCTTTTCTGGTAGGAAAGTGAATCTTCCACACTTGATAGTCAAAATAAAAGTGCATAGTAGTTTTCAAAATCACAGGGGAAAATAAAATTTAACGTGAAACGAGTATACAAAACCAATTTTTGACAAAATATATTTAGTTTTTTTAACTCAAAAACTAATAACCGTATATAATTTAAATTTTTACCAAATGTTTATATGAGCATTTTTCATAAATTATAAGATTTTGATTCTTTTTGTGCTATTTATAGGTATGAGAAATTTTAGATATTTTTTAGCTTTTTAAAATTATTATTGTTAAAAAATTGTTTGCTCTGTCAAAAAACTTTTTAAAAATTTAAAACAAGGTTAATCATAAACAGTCCTTTCATTAACCAAAATATTTAAATTATTTTATAGACGTTTTAATTTCAAATTTGGACATATTTGATTTTTAAAGATGAATTACGGTTTTAATTATTTTGTTGTAATTTAAAATTATTATTTATGGGTATTTTAAAATTTAAAATTATTTTATTTTATACACATAGTCACATATGAATGACATTTCTAAACGCAAAAATTAATTCAACCTACTGTATTACTAATATTAAAATAACTTACTTTATTAGCAATAAATAATAATACCATCAAATATATATTATAATTGGTTATATCTATAGGCTGATAAAAATCGCAGAATTTTTCTTTCTCATTTTTCAGAATCGTTTTTCGTATAGAACGATATACCTAAAATCGTTGAAATATTAAATCAAAATTTAACAAATCCATTACACACGGACCTGTCACACGGTAATTTCCCGGGTCAAAGTGTTTCGCCAATCCGCCAATATACATTCAAAATTATAAGTGTTTAATATTTTAATCCAGTACAAACTACAAGCAATAGGTTTTAAATGTTGAAATGTAAAACTTGTGATCAAAATAAAGTATAAAAATTACTTCAATGAAATAATTGCTAAAGCTAATTATTCACAGAAAAAACCGGTTTAAATACTACGTCGACACACGGCAGAGAAATAATAAATACCTAATAATAACTAGGAAACTATATTACTTATAAATTATAATATAATTTTAATTTAGGTTGATTTTGTGTAATATTTATATTTGTATATATTTTGTATAATGTATGTAAATGAATAATTTCATTTCAAGCATTTTCAAAATAATTATATAATGGTGTAAAAATATGTACAAAAAAAATATATGGAAAAATTCTCATCGTCTCCGTGTAGGTTTATATACTACGTAATCTAATAAGTGGACGTATAAAATGCATAAAACAAATAATTTTTTCAACAAACTATTTATGATAATAATATATTAGAATAGTTTTAATTTATCCATTAACGTTATTATTTAGAATTCATTTTTGTCTGTTCGCTTAATAATAATTATTGTACATTATAGGTAGTACAACGGTAACACTACCTATATAAAAACAATGCGTAGTCTTCCTCAATATGAGAACAAATTATATATTGTTCGAAGGTTATGTCAGTAAATATAAAATTACTTATAAAGTAATAAACAAATATTTGTGTGACTTTTATTAGAATATAATATAGTCCTGGACTACCTACAACATAATGTTGCATTACGAACCGGTCGAACTGTAGCCGTGATGAATTTGTTGAATTTTAGTTCCTGTTAACGGGTAAGCCAAAGTCGTTCACATTCAATCCATTTTTAATCAATTAGGTCTTATACTTTATAAATCATCTTAATCCTAATATTATTATGAAATAGAGTTCCGAGGAAAATGAAGGTTATGCGAAAATGTGAAAAAACAGTTTCCTAGAAAAGATTTTCGAAAGGTCGACTATAAAACACGACATTATATTTTAACACGATTTTGACGAACAAAATAAACACATACTATAATGACATGT